TCAACTCCAAGTAGTCAGCTTGACTTCTCATATGATTGTGTTGCGATGTTCCACTCTAATATGTTGAACGGTCGAAGCAAAAAATGCCAAGAATTCCCTAAACCTACTGGGCGATGAACTGATGATGGGTGCCAGACAGCCAGCTGAAACGAACACTTACGGCATGTTTGTTTCCCGCTAAAGTTTAGCTACTAAATTTTATAGTCACTTTAGCTACTAAACTATCAAACAAACTAATTAAAAAAAGACTAAAGTACCTTAATCACATTAGTACCCTAATGATGTGTTAAAGTGGGCTAAAGTGTCTCGTGAACAGAGGCTACCTCCCATTATTATTGGTCTACTATCCTTATTTTTGAACTGCGCTTAATAGTCTTTAGTCACTTTTAGTTAATAGAACTAAACATGAGTGACTAAAATTTAGTTATTGATTTTAATAGCTATGGCTAAACTTTAGTCCTACTTAAACCAAACGGGACCTCGATGGAGAGCTTAATTAGCGGCAGACTAGAAACTCAAATCACATGTTTCGGGTTTTAACCGACCGCTCGGTCGGTTTTTTCGTTTTTCAAAATTTCGGTTTCCGTAAAATAACTCCCGATCGGTGCTAAAATTCCAAAACCGACTAACTTTGGTTTGGTTTTTCGCTTAAAAAACGAATAAACCGAATATCGACAGACTTAGAACCGACAAGACAACACAAAGACAAACTTGCACAAAGACAAGATATTATTTGAAGACTCAAGATCTGTTATAAACTTAACGATTCAATGCTCAAATCAAATATTATAAATTTACATGGCTCATTCTTGATAATAAACCATAGTACTCCACCAGCTTTGATAAACAACAGAAAAAATGTTTTCTAAGATTTGGTTTTTGGTTCAGTATGGATAAACCCAAACCGAACCGAACTCACCGAACTTCACAGAACCGAAACCAAACCGAACCGAAAAACCGAACTATCGATTATTCGGTTCGGTTTTTGGTTCGTGTTCGGTTTTCGTGAAAACTGCCCAGGCTGACTAGAAACCAAAACCAGCTAGGAACGCGGTGGCGACGTGGTCGTCCACGTCCACCGCTACCTACCCTCTGAAGTCTCGAGCATTCAATCAACCACTACTACTTCCGGCCCGGCGTGCAGCGGACGCCGTAGCCATCGGGGAGCAACGACGACAGCGACGGCAAGTCGTCACGTTCCCTCCCCTGACCGGGCCACGCCACCGAACCGCACTCATTTCCCACGCGGGCCGGCCTGGCAAGTGGCACATCTCCCCATCACGGTAGGCTCGCGAGTTGATCGTTTGACCTGTTGTACGCGCGACCGACGCGACACGGTCGTTTCTGCTACTTTTGCGAAGCCGCAGGACACCGACGAGGACGCCGCGGGCCCGCGGCCGGCGTTGCCCGCCGCCGCCCCACCCCAAGGGAGCGCTGCACCGCGGTGCCAATGGACAGCGGCGACTGGGGTTAATCAGCCGCGCGGTGGCCTCCGCCGGCGACGTGACTGCGATATGTGCGGTGGGAAGTGGCCGAGTGGGGAAGGGGAGGTCGTACTTCGCCGTGGGTCTGTAGCCTATTCCTTTGTAGGTGAGCAGCCGGGCGTTGGCGGGTCGATCTCCACCCAGAATATCCGGCGGCGCGCGACGCGAGTTTATTCCTGGCTTTTCTTCCGCCGCGGAACGTGTCAAAGGCGTCGCGTTCTTTTCCGTTCCCCGGGTAATATGGTCCCGCGGGAGCGTGACGGCTTCACGGAAGGAATCCAGGCCGCTGATGATGCTCATCGTTTGGTGTCGTCGCGTGCGTGCGTCTCTTTGAGGGAAAAAATTGGTACACAAGAACACAGTTTCGTACGTATGTGCGCCGTATCCGGATAGCAGTTTGTAGCCGAGCAGAGTGACGGAGTGTCTGCATTCCTGACACGGAGTTTCTACAGGCAACGAAAAGGTCTGTACCCCTGAAGCTTGACACTCTAGTACATTCAGGTGAGCCTTTTATTGTGTACTAAGTACGACTACTTGGGTTTTTTCCCTACCATCAGCCTGTTCCGTTTGGTCGTATTTGGCTTATAAGCCATAGCTTATTAGCCAACAAATAATATTTTTCTCTCACACTAAATCAGTCAATAGTATTTTCAGCCACGGTTTATAAATCAAACCCGCCTGAACAGGACGAATTATTGATATGACTGGTTGCTGTCATTGTCTCAGAGAAGTCGTCTGATGCATCCAAGCCAGCGCAATTCGGCAGGCGAGGCAATCATATTCGACCTAATCACAGAGGAAATTCAGTTAAAAAATCAGAGAGAGTTGCACTGGAATAAGCAATTAAAGCAAAAGATCACGGGACTTGGCCGTTGCTGTGACTCTGTCGTCTGTGAGGACACGCTGTCGGTCAGAGCTTGTCACTGTACAACCACGGATCAGCGACCTTTTTTTTTTCTTTTTCTTTTTCTTTTTCTTTTTTTTTACTATCGTTTTCCTTCTGCCTCACCGAGTGTCCGGGCTTGCGGTCCAGACCAACGGCCTCTTAGTTTGTTAGTTTCTGGGCGTAGGTTAGTTGTTGGGCTGGTTTTGGTTATAAGAGAAAAACATTGTTGACCGACGGCTTTGAAATGCCTATTTAAACCAACAAATGAATGAAAAGGTGTAAGTCTAACAACCTGTGCGCACACGACATGGTATGTGATCCAAGAAGATGACGGCGCATGTGTAATCCATTGGAGACTTGGCCCGCTACTATCGCCGGCAATGGAGTCATACAGCCTGGTTGGTAGGGATGATGGCTGTAACATTTCATTCTACTAGTACCAGTGTTGCAACGAAATACACATTTTACACATAAAAAATGATTTGTAGCTAAAAGATTTATATAATGGAGCATCATCTGTTTTAATATGTACTGAAATTAGATTGTGTCATTGTTGAACGCACAAATATCACCGTTTTAACTCGTATAAGCAGGGATCACAAATTCAAATCCTAAACGATACATGGCCCTGTTCGCTTGGCTTATAAGCCATACTTTTTCGAACATTATTTTTCTCTCACAACAAATCAATCACCAAAGATTTTCAATGACATGATTTACCACCTAAGAATAGGGCAACAAGGAGACACAAAACATTGTGAGAGACAAAAGAATATGGGGAAAATCTCTTCAAGATGTATAGTATAAATACAGATAGAGATAGCTGTTGGGGCTGTTTGGAGAGGCTTGAGGCAGCTACAGCTGCAGAAATTGTTTATACCAAAGTGACCTATACAGATATAGATAACTAATAATTATTTTACTTTAATTATTGTAGCTGTTTGGGGAGGCTGCAACAGCTACAGCTGCAGTAGCTATCTATACATACATGAGACAGAAGAAAATCTGCAGCAAAAGGTAGCACTTCACCTATTTCCGTCACAGTTTTATGCTACCTGGACATATTACGAAAAGAAGGGGATTTGGACACCCGTATCAGCAGGACACCAGGTCTTGTTGTCACCTCTGGAAATCCTGAGATGATCCACCGATCTATGCAAAATGTTTATTTGTCTTGGAAGATGAAATTCATGTAAAATGTAAGCATGCATCAAGTATTTAAGTCTCTTTGGCCCATGGCAACATACCAAGGATGTTTTTATTAAATCCTAAAGAAAATGGAAACATAGCAAATTTCTTTTTGGAGAAATGGTTCTAAATGCTCTCCTTGCTAATTATTAGTTTCACGAAATTAGTGAGGTGGATTTTGGCGGAAATAACTTGCTCAAGGACGTTAGATATATATAAACACATACTCTCTGTTTTCAAATTATAAAATGTTTAGTTTTTTTTCTAAATACATAGTTTTTTATATGCATCTAGTAGACATAATATATATATCTAACTGGCGAGGAAGGTTTTTTTTTCTTTACAAAACCGAGACCAGCAGATTTTCTAGTTGATCATCAATCAATTATATGGAGCAGTGGAGCACTGCCCACAGTGCTCACGCGGTACGATGTCAACCGATCCACCTTATCAATTTTTCGGAAAACAAACGAAAGACAAGTCAAAGGCCCTCATTAAAATTTCAACGTAAACTAAGCCCTAAATCGCTCTTTTACCTATATTTTAAAATCAAAAGAAATTGATATCCCCACCAAACATGCTTTCGAGTTGCGAACACGAGACGATTGTCCACGTGGCCACCGCGCCCAGTCCACGCTCCCCGCGCCCCCCCTAAACCCGCGACCAATCCTGACCTCTTCCCCAAATCCTCAAATCCGCCCCTCCTCCGCCTCCACCTCCACCCTTGCGCCGCGCTTTCACGGCCCTCCCCACCTCCGGATCCAGATCCGCCGCCACCAACGCCTGCTCCTCCCTCCTCCTGCTGCTGCACCACCACCACCACCCCGAAGACCAGCAGCAGGGGTAGGCGCGGCGGCGGCGGCATGGGACGGGACGGCGGTGGCGGCGTCGCCGGCGGCATGTCTGACTCGGTGCTCCGGAAGGTGCTCCTCTCCTACTTCTACGTTGCGGTGTGGATCTTCCTCTCCTTCTCCGTCATCGTCTACAACAAGTACATCCTCGACCCCAAGATGTACAACTGGCCCTTCCCCATCTCGCTCACCATGGTGCACATGGGTTTCTGCTCGTCCTCGCCGTCGCGCTCGTCCGCGTCCTCCGCGTCGTCGACCTCCCGACCTCGCCCTCCATGACGCCGCAGTTCTACACCTCCTCCGTCGTCCCCATCGGCGCGCTCTACGCGATGTCGCTCTGGTTCTCCAACTCCGCCTACATCTACCTGTCCGTGTCGTTCATCCAGATGCTCAAGGCGCTCATGCCCGTCGCCGTCTACTCCATCGGCGTCCTCTTCAAGAAGGAGACCTTCAGGTCCTCCTCCATGCTCAACATGCTCTCCATCTCCTTCGGCGTCGCCATCGCCGCCTACGGCGAGGCACGCTTCGACGTGCGCGGCGTCGCCCTGCAGCTCGCTGCCGTCGCCTTCGAGGCCACGCGGCTCGTGCTCATCCAGATCCTGCTCACATCCAAGGGCATCTCGCTCAACCCTATCACCTCGCTCTACTATGTCGCGCCGTGCTGCTTCTGCTTCCTCGTCGTGCCCTGGGCCTTCGTCGAGCTGCCCAGGCTGCGCGCCATCGGCACCTTCCAACCGGATTTCTTCATCTTTGGGACGAACTCACTCTGCGCCTTTGCGCTCAACCTTGCCGTCTTCTTTGCTAGTCGGCAAGACCTCGGCGCTGACCATGAACGTCGCGGGAGTAGTCAAGGACTGGCTGTTGATTGCCTTCTCGTGGTCCGTGATCCGGGACACCGTCACCCCTGATCAACCTGTTTGGCTACGGATCGCGTTTTTAGGGTGGGCTACTACAATCATGTCAAGCTGCAGGCGCTCAAGGCTAAGGAGGCGCAGAAGAAAGCTGCCCAGGCTGATGAGGAGGCTGGGTCGCTCTTGCTGGAGCGCGATGGGCACGGTGATCGCAAGAGCGACAATCAGGCTTAGAGTGCCAGATCTGATCCTGGCTTCCCCATATTGGTGGGTTCTTGATCCATTCATGCTATTGCTACCGTTGTCACTTACATGTGAGAGAAGTGCTTGTTCTTAGCTTGCATTGTGGTAGAAGAGTTCATCTTGAGAAAGATGTTATGTTCACATTTAACGGATGATAATTGTGGTATCTTTTTGTTGCAATCAAACATCAATCTTGCATTGTGGACCATGGGCTACTAAACACATCTATTTTGTCTACACTTATGAAATAGAATTCTACAAAATTGTTGTTTGAATATGTTACCCCTAGCCTGGAACTGAAATATACCTTTTGAACAAAATAAGGATATTTGGAACTAATAAAACTAGTAGTTTTGTTGTTCTACTAGGTCATTTTCATGTTCTAATTTTGCTGGAATATTGTACAGGGGATCTGATGCAAGGTGCAAAGACTGGAGTTTGGTCTACGGTTGCTTTCAAGGAGGTGTATGCCGGTTTCTTGCACTTCTTTAACTTTGTGTCTGAAGAGCAAATCAGAATATTTATGGGTTAGGAAATATGCACCTGCTTGCTGGAGAGCTTTGCCCTGTTATTTATTTAGACACTTTTGTTCTACAGATAGGCAGCCTTGCCTTACTACCTCTCTTGTCCATTGCCTAAATTTATTTGTTCTCCTAGTAGATTAGGGACTAAAGATGTACTGCTGCAGATTGTTAATTTGGTGGTTATTTTCGATATATAATGAGCTTTCTGTAATCTACGAGTTGAGTTGAGTCTTTCTCTTGCGAAGTTTTTTGTTTATTCATGTTCTGGTCTGCGTGTGTATGGATTATTTTTACGGGTGATAATTATTGTTAGGATGTCTTTTTCAGATTTTAGTTGAGATGTATATAGTCTACATCTCTTTGCCATGCAGATGGTTACATTGGTAGGAAAGTCTTACAAATCAGGAGATTTGCCGAGTGCCCCTGGCACTCGGCAAAGCCAAAAACAAACTCGGCAAAGCCTAAAACAAACTCGGCAAAGGGTTTGCCGAGTGTCACACTCGGCAAATGACACTCGGTGAATTTACGTTTAAGAAGCAGACTTTGCCGAGTGTTTTTGTCGGACACTTAAGCAAAGACTTCGCCTGAGTGCCCAAAATACGCTTCGGCAAACATGTTTTGAAAAAAAAAAAATCGACCGACACCACGCCAAGCACCACTCAAGACTGCCGACACCACGCCCAAGACCTGGCTGTCTGGGTGCGTCTTGATCTGGAGCTCAAGGTGGTGGAGCTCGTCGGATCCGCCACCCGCTCGCTGGATCCACGCTGCCATGCCGAGGGAGCTTGCGTCGAGGAGAGAGAGAGAGGGCCGCCAGAGATGACGTGAGAGCCGAGGTGGAGGAGGAGCGCATGCATCGCGGTCCCGACGCTTGGTGGAGAAGCGCCGCCACTGTTTCGCCAAGGCTGGATCTGGCTGCTCCACGCTGGATCCAGGATGCTCCTCATCAAGGCGCCAGATCCACCGTCGGGAGGCCACGGGAGCATCCGCTCGCCTGCCTGGCCGGGCGCCCATCCCGAGAGAGAGAGAGAGAGAGAGGGCAAGGGGCGGGGAGGAGGGAGAGGAGGAGAGAGGGAGGCGGAGGAGGAGAGAGCGTGGCGTGGCGGGGGCGAGAACCGCTTGGGAGGAGGGAGGGAGAGAGGGCGGTTCTGGGAGGTAGGAGGAGAGAGGACGTGGAGCGAGAGAGCGCTTGTCGGTCTTGAGGAGGAGAGAGAGGCGCGCAAGGGGAAGAAGAAGGGGAGGCGGATCTGGGGTGCCTTGGACGCGGATAGGAGAGAGAGGCGCAGGCGGTTAGGAGTAGATATTTTGTTGTTTGCCGAAAGTGTCCCGGATAGGGCACTTCGACAAAGTTTTTTTTTAATTTTTTTCTTCTATTTTTTTTTTTTGCCGAGTGTTTTGGATCGAGCACTTCGGCAAAGTTTTTTTTTTTTTTTTTTTCTTCTCCTTTTTTTTCAGAAAAAAGATTTTATTTTTGTTTGCCGAGTGTATTTTTTTAACACTCGGTAAACAACCTCTTTGCTGGGTGTTTTTGTTTTGATACTCGGCAAAACGTCCTGTTTGCCGAGTGTTTTTGGCGCGGCACTCGGCAAAAAAAAAACGCTCGGCAAATTTCAGGATTCCGACACTGATATCTATTTTCACATGCTTGTTACAGTACTAAGCTTTCGGCTATAAAACAAATTAAGAATCTACATGCCAACAGCTGGCAACAGGTCTCAACAATTTGCTGCAGCTTGCTATTCACATTCAGACTATGGTACCGTTTAGTTTCCTCCCAAAATGCCAAATTTTTCAAGATTCTTCGTCACATCAAATCTTTTAGACGTATGCATGAAGTATTAAATATAAATAAAAAATAAAACTAATTACACAGTTTAGACGAAATCTACGAGACGAATCTTTTAAGCCTAATTAGATTATGATTGAACATTAATTGTCAAATAACAACGAAAACTGCTACAGTGTCATTTTGCCAAAAATTTCGGCATCTACACAGGCCCTATGTCATGGGGTCGGGGATCATAGCTCATTAATTTTGCTTGCTTCTTCATAGAACTAGGTTGAGCTACATAGGTCATTAATTTCGCTTGCTTGTTGAGATCAAGCATTATATGACACTTCAATTTGCATCTTGGTCCACTGCTGATTCAACTAGGTTGGTTGATGGTAGGTGAGCATGATATGGCTCAGCTGACTTATTCCCGGTCCTGCATCTCCCGGCTGCTGTGTGTTACTCCTTCCTGCGATTGCAATGGTTCCAACAGCTTAAGCTTCCAATCCAAGCTGAATTAGGTGCAGAGTGGTAGGGTCTCCTTTGTAGTTTAGAATCACAGTTGCTTGAAATCCAGTGACAGCAAGCTTGGGGAAAATGTGATCTCGTAGTACTTGCATATTTTAAATTTGCTTGTTGGGACTGCATTAGTTCTTGGTGTTGTGTGCCTGCAAAAATGACGCCATTGAACATTGGGGCTGCAACATCTGCCTGAAACAAGATTGGCCTTTTTGAACCGTGCACTTGGTGAGACTCTACCTGTGCTTCAGAATTACCTGGATCAGATACTTTTTAAATTACGTTCAAATGACTAAAATTTGTGGACTTGGGCCCTTGTTTGTTGCTTCCAGACTTCAGAGCCCAGAAAGATTTCTTAGGACCGACCAAATTGGAAATTGAACTCCGCCTACGGTGGGGCGCCTTTGGTGTCCCAACATAGCAGGTTTCAAGTCCTGGTAAAGGAGGAGGGTTGTGTTAGACGCGGCGAACCAATGTAAAAACTTAGCTACTTTAATGGAGATAAAATCCAAAAGAATCCCGTTGGGGCGTAACCCTCTTAGCGACGCGCCATGTTGGAACCCGGGTATGGTGTTAAATGAGTAAGGGTCGGGTCGTCACCCCCGTGACGCGACGTGTCGCAATCTGGACATGGTGTCAAGTGAGCAAGGATCGGGTCGTTGCATCCTTAGTGGCGCGCCACATCGGCGCTCAGGTGTGGTGCAAAATAAGTAAGGGTCTTCACACCTATCTCGGCGGGTGTGAAGGGTAAGAAAGCTAGTCGAGCCAACTAGGATCCGTTTAAGTAGCTGGAATGTAGGGTTCCTTACAGGTAAGTTAAGAGAGTTATTGGACACAACGGTTAGGAGGTGTGTAAATATCTTATGCGTCCAAGAGATTAAACGGACGGGGCAGAAGGCGAAGGAGGTGGACAATATCGGCTTCAAGCTCTGGTACACAGGGACAACTTCAAATAAAAATAGAGTAGAAGTTTTGATTGATAAGAGCCTCGAAGATGGTGTGGTGGAGGTGAGAAGGCAAGGGGATAGGATCATCTTAGTTAAACTTGTCATTAGTGATATGGTCTTAAATGTAATTAGTACGTATGCCCCAAGTAGGCCATGATGAGAGTGCTAAGTGGATTTTCTAGGAAGACTTAGATCGCTTGGTTAGAGTTGTCCCTAGTAGCGAGAAGCTCTTTATATGAGGTGATCTTAATGGTCATGTAGGTACATCAAGTGCATGTTTTGAGGCGGTTTATGGGGTTTCGGATATGGTAGTAGGAATCAGAAGGGAGAGGAAGTCTTAGACTTCGCCATAGCTTTTGATCTGATGATAGCTAACACTTTCTTTCGTAAGAGACAGTCCCATTTAGTGACTTTTAGTAGCGGCCAGTACTCTAGTCAAATCGACTTTGTCCTTACAAGGAGGGATAAACGAACATGCGTGGACTGTAAAGTGATGCCTGGAGAATGTGTGGTCGCTCAACACAAACTGGTGATAGCTAACTTCCGCTTTTCTGGTGCAAGCTCGTGGGAATAAATAAGCTAGGGTTGCTAGAACGAAGTGGTGGAAATTAGAAGGGGAGGCATCAAAGGTCTTTAAGGAAAAGGACATTGAAGAGAACTCTTGAAATGATGAAGGCGATGTAAACAGCATGTGGGAGAAGATGGCAACATGTGTTCGGAAGGTTGCTTCAGAGGTGCTTGAAGTGATCAAAGGGAGCGGATGCGACTCGAAAGACACTTGGTGGTGTAATGAAGATGTGTAAAAGGCTATTAAGGAAAAGAAGTGGTATAAGCGCTTGTATCATGACAGGTGTGCAAACAACATAGAGAAGTATAAGGTGGTAAAGAAGACTGCAAAACGAGCGGTGAGTGAGGCAAAGGGGTGGCCCTATAAGGACCTTTACCGATGTTTGAGTACGAAGGAAGGAGAGAAGGACATTTATAGGATTGTTAGGGCTCGCGATAGGAAGACAAGTGACTTCAACCAAGTCAAGTGCATAAAGGATGAGAGAG